TCAAAAAAGTTCATGCACTTTAGCCTGTATCAGACGAAATTAGATAAATTAAACTCAAAATTGATGTCTAAAGCGATGATATTTTGGCATTTTCTGCAAAAAATCATTCTGATCCTTGGTCGCGATTTTCACATTTTTACCATTAGCCTTTCTCTGGGCATTAGTCATTAGCCTTTCTCAGCATCACCTGAACATGTGCACTTGCCCTATGGCTGATGTGTGAATAAAATAATATCTATGAATATTTCAGTGCGCCAGAGAAGTGCAGGAATAACAAAGAGAGAAAACTGAAGAAAAGCGCTGGCTAAAATAGCAAAAGCAAAGTCGAAAGGGTAAAAATGTCTATACGAATATGTAAGCAATCGTTTTTCACCTTGAGGCTACCATGACGCAGGTAAGTTCTCTTACCGGCCAAGAAAGTGGGCACCTCCTTTTCCCACCCACCCCTCGACCTTCCCCGTCCCTTCCGCCCCTTGCCCCTTCTTTCCTACTCTTCCCTCTGCCCCCTTCTCCTATCACACCATCTGCGAGTCAGTTGGCAAATCGTGCAGCAGCCGAAGCGGGCTTAGCGATACCGGCGTAGTGCTATACTCATTTGGCTACCAGTGTAATTCCGGTGTGAATTCATAATATCACAAACAGAAGCATAATACGGGACCAACGCAGAAAGGTACCCCACTTTTTGTAGTGGCCGAATTGCAGGCGTAGCGACTACCGCACAAAGGAATCCAAGCACACAAGACAGCCGGTACAATCATGTATTTTACACAGTTCCATCCAGCGGACGTTTAGCTGCTAAGGATTTTCATTGTCTTACACTATTGCCTCTACGCTGCGAAATCTCCCATTAAAAATTTCATGCACCAGTACACGAGACGCAAATGTACGTGAAAGCTGGATTTGAAAGACTAGAAGGTGAACATCATTCCGAAATTTCAACTTTCAAGTTCTCTGGCTTTCAGGCAACATTCACATCAAAGCTTTTATGTGTGGTACACGAGAACTCGTCATATTAAGGAGCTAAATTCGAGTCTGTTAGAAAATATTCCTATGAAATTTTCGCCCTCTTCTAGCCACCAAGGTAATAATTTTCCCGCCAGAACCTTCACTGGGCCACACGTGGTACTCAGGCGAATGGGAAGGTTGAATTTAAATTTGCGACACTGTATGTGCGCAGGAGATTCTATCTTAAAATTTCAGCCTCCTAGGTTTTTGTAATTCTTGAGACAGTAATTTTCTCCGCCAGAAGTTTCATGGAGCCATATGTGGTACTCAGGCAAGTGGGAAGGTTAAATTTAAATTTGGCAGCGGACATCTGTCCTAAAATTTCAGCCTCCTTGCTTCCGTGGTTCTCGAGATAGTAAATTCCCGCCAAAAATTTCACGGGACCATGCGTGTTACTCGGGGGGACAAAAAACCTGGAATCTAAATTTTCGGTGTTACAAGTGATAGGGAATATTACCTTGAAATTTCAGCTTTCCAGCTTTCGCAGTTCCCAAGATAACAATCATCCTCGTCAAAACTTTCACGAAGTCGTGCTTGGTACCCAGGGGCATGTGAGGGCTGAATCTATATTTGCAGGGTCACATGTGGACGGAAAATACTGTGCTAAAATTTCAGCTTTCCAGCTTTCGCGATTTAGACAAAACGCGCAAGACAAGACACACACACACAAAAACACAAACACACACAGATAGAGTCGTGACAATACGTGTTTTATGCTGCTGTTGCATCGAGCAAAACGCGCAAAAAAACAGGGGAGGACATACCAACAACAATCACTGGCTTTTGAAAACCAATAA